ACAACTTCTATACTCTCTATTTTAGCCTTTGTGGTGTAGTCGTGCATAAATTTCATTTTCAACAAAAGAAAAAAAATGCGATTATCATATTTACAAATGCATACATATTTCAAACACATGAGCTACCTAAAATATAAACAGTTAACACAATGAACACACCAAATATTTAATGTCTGTATATCTAATGCATAACCTCAAAATAAAACAAAACCAAAGCAACTAACAAAAACAGTAAATAATAACCCTCGTTTTTTGTGCACACTTGAACTGAGTGAACTGCTAGAAACAGTTACAGTTCGGCTTATTCGTTGTTTTAAACAACGACAAATTTGTTTTGCGGTTTTCTGGTTGAAAACAGAGTTTTGCTCCTGACAGTTGACATTCTTTTGCGGGTGTTAAAATTATTAAAATAATTGAAAGCGTCATGCATTTGTGAAAATACGAGTATCTACACAAATTTGTGAGATGAGTTAAGAGTTTTTGGTAGAATTTAACATAGCACGCGAGTCGCTTGTTCTTCGCTTCGTCGCTTGTTGTGACACATCAGGTTTGGCTTGTAAGCGCTGATTAGATTCTAGTTGTTTCTTAAAAATACTTGACATCCGCATTCGCATTCGCATCCGCGGATGTCTAAAATTCCACATTCGCAACATCCCTACTCTCGAGTACTATCCCTGAAAATACCATTGCCGCACCTTGACGTGATGGTCACTTATAGTCATTTGTTGAACAACAACAACTGATTTTGGCGAAGTTTGAGTACCTACCGCAATTAAACAAAAGGACCTTCCACTTAGGCTTAAATTAAGTCTTGAATTTTCGATTACAATCGCTTCAAAAACCAACCCTGACCTTGACCCTAAGGTCACTTATAGTAATTTATTGTACAGCAGAATCTGCTGTTTTTGGCTAACATATTTTTCAATAGCACAATTTTCCAGTACTGTTTATAGTTCAATAAATGACTTTAAGTAACCTTCAGGTCGAGGGGAAGGGATGGTATTTTCAGGGACAGTAGTCGAAAGTTCTAGCTTTAATAAAAGCCTCAGTGAAAACATCTATAAACTTTTCTTTCTTTGCCAGGGCTTCTCAAACATTGCCTAGAACGAGATTTTTTTAAATTTTTATTTCGTTTATCTCAAAATATGAATCTGATGGAAACTTACAGATTTAACATTTGCATCACCAAAATCAGTGTTGCCTTGTGTTATAAAGATAATGCAGCAATTAACATCTCCCATAGACGTCAAAACTCGAAGTCGAGAGAACATTTGAAAATGTTCACAACTGGACTGGAAGTTGAGTGTGGAAGAGAGAATTAATAAGGCTTCTAATAACTTATACGCTTGCAGGAAAAGGCTCGGTAAGACATGGTGTATATAGTGGGTATATATAATGGGCTTGGTGATTCCTGTTATCGTTAACGAGTTTCTGTCGAACGATTTTACATGCGGCATAAACTTCATTCTGCTCCGAGAAATAGTTGATGTAGGGAAGTCGAGCCGGTGGACTGCGGTCAAACTCCGCACAAGGTTTGGGTGGGGTAACACAACCGCTTGGTCAACTTAAAGCGCTCGATTATAGGAACCATAAGAATGAGTACTGGTTGTGGCTGTGAAAAAACACAATGAAATGCTTTACGGTAGCTTCGTGAAGTGCGAATATGGTAATAAACAGATATTTAATATTTAAAAGTATCTTGTTACAGATAACTTCAGAAAAACTTGTACCATAAGACCCACTCAAATGTTTTAGGTGCTTACCCGGTTTTAAAAGTTACTTAAACTAACTCACTTATTTATTTTTGAATGTATTATCCAAAATTTGCACTAGGCTTTGGAATGACAAAAAAATGGCCGTTTAAAAATTCTATGGAAATCTGGCATTAGTTAGAATTTTTTAAACATATTTAGAAGTGAATCTAATAAGCTCTGCTTCATCGATCACAAAATTTTTAGCATAACTTTATAAACTATAAAAATTGCAGCAGTTAAGCGAGTTAGATAACTAAACGGGAAGGTACTTAAGAGAAGAATTTTCTTTAGATACATATGTATATGTATGTAATAAAAACAAGTCACAGTGCACAAATCTGTGGGTTACCTAAGCGGATTTCACTTTATTCATATTTTAGAATTTTTATTATAAGCTATCAATCATTTATTCTGTTGAAATTTGGTACAAACAGCAAACATACCAAGCATTATAGTAGCTACAAAATCTCTTTCAAAAAAAGGAGAAGAATACACCCTTATTACACTGCTCGCTAAATGCCATTTAACTCTGAGTACAAGCAATAAAAATTAATCGTCTGCTCATTGAAGAGGCAAATATGCGGTAAATTTGGCTTTAAAAATTTGCTCCCCCATATAAAGTCATTCACCCACTACAACTCAAAAAAACAAAAAAAAAAACAACAAGAAACATAGTAGGAATTAGAATGCCAACAAAAGTGTGCCGTTGGAATTCCAAAATTGTTTTCATTACATTTTTGAAAATCTATAAAACTCACACCCACCAAAGGAGACATCGGAGTGGGGCACGCCAGTGTTTTGCATAGAGCGTATAGGCTTGTGTAAATTGTAATGGGTGGTTAGATGCTGAAGTCCGAACGATGAGGGACAAACATTTGACTACAGTTTACGTATTATTCCACTTTAGATAAATTTCTTTATTTGTTAAAGGGCAATCGTTTTAAGGTACATACTTACATAAGTACATACATACTTACATATGTATGTAGATATTTGAAAATAAAACGCATTGAATAAATACATACAAAGAAGAATATTGAGGTCATAAATTTTCCCGTTCGGTTGTTGGTTGAAAGTGTTATTGTTGGCGGTCTAATAGAATCGATTGCGCGTTTGTGTGATTTTAGAAATTTTCAACACGTATTTAACGTGTTCGAATTGGTGTAATTAATTGCTTTGACTTTGACTGGCTGATTGCACCCCCACATAGCCTCTCGGAATATGTGTGCGATAATGATTTGATTTTGCGCGCTATTGCAGGGAGCATTTGGTTTTATAAATTATGTGTTCATTTAAAAGGATCTAAATTTTTGTATGCATATTTTCACAGCAACGAGGTCGATTTATTAAATCTTCTGAAGGAATGTAAATCTCGTAATTTATTAAATTATTTGCAAGCTGGAGTTTATTTGTAAAAGAAACTTTCACACACCCGGATCTGGCAGAGCGTTTGAGTTAATTTAACCCTCTCAAGACCATAAGCCTATAAATAAAAACAAAAAACATAATTTGAAATGTTTGAATGTTATTCATCAAGGGCCGAATAAAAAAAAAATATATATGTCTGTATGTAAAAACTAATATTCTCTCAAAAATTTTCATTAATTTCAGTGGCAAACTATTTTTTCCCCTAATTTTTTTAGTTTAAAAAATTTTCCTTAATTCGCTGATTTTTTCCTATAAAATAATGAAGGTGTTCTCAAGTGCCTCATTATCAGGTTACCTAGTTATGATTATTCTATAATATATTTTAATGTTGTAAACTGAATAAAAAAAGAGTTGTAATATAACCACTTAATCGGATAAGTTGAAAACTAGGCAGGTGTGAACATCCACAATGTTTTCCAAAACTTTTTTTCTAATTTTTTTCTAGGTTTATTTATTGAAATTTTTTTATGTGTTTTTCCCAAACGATTTTTCTCAAAGAAATAATTTTTGCACACATTTTTTTCATACAAGCTTTTATAATTTTGGTAGACATTATCTTCCCAAAATATAATTTGTATTGTTGTAATATGAATAAAAAATATAATAACATAAGCTGATAACCAGACAGGTGTGAACACCGACAATGTTTTCCAAAACTTTTTTTTTCAATCTCTTTTTTCAGGTATCTTTTTTAAGAGTATTTTTTCCCACACTTGATTTTTCCCACAGAAAGGATTTTTTGCCCACAATTTTATTTCATACAAGCTTTTATAGTTTTGGTACACATTATTTTTCCAAAATATAATTTTTTCCTATTAACTTAAATGGAAAATCGTTCTTCTCTAAAACGATTTTGTCCTAAAAACTACAATACATGTCAATGACTATTGCCGCCTAATTAGATAACTCTCAGTTCATCCTTTGAGTCCCCGTGAGAGTCTTCTAGTTACGTGGACTGGCAGACGGGGTCAAATGCCTTCGACAAGTCCAACACTACTGGGACAACTCTCGAATTTCCAAATCGATATCCCTAATGCGGGGCATACCCGGGATGGGCCTGACGACGAAGGTCACGCTGGTTCGCCAGTACAGTCAACCCAGCCGGGAAATTTGGGGTGGATTGAAGCGAAGTGCTGCAGCTGTGACCGCCTTGCGAAATTCCCGATCGACAAGATGAAATCTGTTGGTGTCGGAAGAGCGGCGAATGTGCTCTCGGTAACTACCGCCAAGCGGGATATCACTTAGCACATTTAAGTAGAAGACATCCTAAATTACATCTACTTCAGCTCATTAGAATGGGTCTATGATTGGCTGTATGCGAGCCAGATTTAGCTAACACCTTGCTAACTAAGCACAAAAATCAATTAATTAAAAATTTCACAAATTTTATTGGTAACTTAACGGAAGTCTTTGCCAAAGATTATTAATACGAGGTTGTGAAAAAATGTACATAAATGCCCGCCAATATTAAATGCACTAATTAATTTTTTTCCAGAAATATGTTTTCATAACTTTGTACCTCAATTATTTTCCACTTAACTGAACCCATTCAAACGTGTCGAATGGCCAATTAAATCAATTTAACATATATTTAATTAAATGCCCACACATTACTGTCCCTGTTGTCGTTTGACATGCCTCAGCCGTCATAATACAGAAACGGGCAAAACCAAAGCCAAAAAACTCTAGCCAATTGCTCTTCTGATTTTTTTTTTTTTTTTGCAATTGAAACAGACCACAACAAAAAACAACGCACCCAAAAAATATTTCAACTGATTGTAATTTTTTTTATTACGTTTCATTCGTTCTTCACCACAGATGTCCACAGCAACAATGGTGGCGGCAGCAGCAGTAGTAGTAGTAGCGGTGGCGGTGGTGGTGGTGGTGGAGGTGGAGGTGGTGGTCATGGTTTGATCAAAGCGTCATCAGCAGCTGCAACAGCCACCTCCATGGCGGCCGCCGCTGCTTCTATAGCCGCCTCAGTGGCGTCAACCACATCCTCGCCTGCGTCAGCAAGTCATCTCGGTCATCACCATCATCACACACATCATCATCACCATCATCCGAATGGTGGCCTGTTGGCCGCAGCGGGTTTGGGTGGCATGGGTGGCCTCGGCATACCGGTAAGCTGTGCAGGTTTACGTGGTGTGGCGAGTGGTCTCAGTGGCTTGACCACAGCTGGTGGAGTCGGTGTGGGCATTGGCAGCGGTGGCAGTTCGAGTGGCAGCAACAGTAGCGGGCTTGGGGGTGTGCTGAGTTTGCCGCCAGGTCATGTGCCAGATATTTGCCCTATCTGTGGTATAAAAATTTCGGCAGAAGAATGGAATTCACACTTTTTGACCGAACTAGACCGACTCTACAAGCTGAGCTCGGGCATGGAACGTACGAATTTACAGGCATCTTACATGTTTGCGCCGCCCTGTCCGGCGCAAGAGAATGCCATACGCACCAGTCATAATCGGTGGGAGGTAAGTTAGTCAAAGTTTTTATATGTCTTCGTAATACTGTACTTATTTTGCTTTGCCAATTCGTAAATTAAAGTTGGTATCAGTGCGTTGATTGTTATGAATTTCATTTGCAGACTTTCCAAAGGATACGCAATAATAGACAGAATCGTTTAAGAATAAAGGGTCGAAAACGAAAATATGGCAATGATTTGTACTTCATGGAAAACTTGTTCTGCAATTCCTGCCCGATTTGTAAGCGAAAATATGCGATCGAAGCTGGAAAGATACAACCTGAGGTGAGTTCATACAATTACTTGTAAAAAGATAAGAAATCCTACTAAAAATAGATGTATAGGAGAACATCCATGTTATTCACTTTTCTTAAAAATTTTCACAATTTGGCAAACTGCAAACTGATTTTAGACCCATGGTTTCTTTAGCAAATTTTCTTGGAATTACATGCAAATTGACCCGCCCTAATGTAATACATATATTAGATTGGTCCATAATTTGTTTTTCCAGTCACCCCCAGAACTGAAGAATATCGAAAATAAGGAGACCCGAAGGGGTGTATTCTACAAACAAAAAATATTTTCCTCATATAAATGTTAACCGGTTTGGAGATGGCATCATACATCCACCTTGCCAGTTTAGGTCTTATGCCCCAGTTCCGTCTCATAAGTTTCCTACAGGTTCAGACAGAACCTTGAATAGTATTAGCTAGGTGCGGATTCCATGAGAGCTTGTCATCAAGTATAGCTCCTAGATATTAGCCCTCTTTGGAGAAGTGTATCTTTTCACCTTGAAATAATAGTTCTAGCAATTTTTCTAAATTTTCCTTGTTACGCTCTGAAGAGCGTGGATGGTAGATCTTCCTGGAAGATAGGCATATTGGTGTCTATGCAAAGACCACTGTCAGAACCGCGATCTATAAAATGAAAACTCCACAGTTCTAATAGGTCGGAGCAAAGAATTTACCCCAAAAAAGGTCAGAAAAGATCAAAATAATTTCTCATCTCATCTGCACATTACTGACAAGCTGCAAGAATGTAAAATTCACCCAAAAACTGTATTCTAGTTCTACACAAAGTTGGATATATACAGAGGAATTTCTTCGTTTTTTTTCTCTTCTGTGAGTTGAAACTCTGGCAGGAATCTAGTCTAAGTCTAGCAGCGTGTGATTCTAGAGGCCGGGCTGTTCCAAAACCTAGCAAGCATCGTCTAAGTCTGCGGTATTTCTACAAATTTCCGAATGCAAAGCCATCGATATGAAAGTCGGACGAACAGATCCTGGTACCACACCACCATTTATTTCCATGAAGAAAGAACTCCGTATTAATGAATTTCAGTATATCATACAGAGGTATGGCTGCACTCTAAAATATTCTGAAGGTATGGTTGACCAACTGTCTTTAGCCTCATTCCCGAAAAGGTTGAGCACTTGCAGAGAAAAAGTTCAACTGTCTCTTTTCAGCCCGGGTCATGCAGCTGCGACAGACCTATGGGCTAGTGAATTTTCGCCTGACTGACTACCTAAGCAAATATTCACCGGCGATCTCAAGCATGCATGGTTTTTTATGTTCCTTACCGCCTCCTCATTTGCAAACGTTTCCGCCTGCGTGGTCCAGAGAGCTTCGAATTGAGTTGCTTTGTCGTCAAATAATTAATAATGGCTTTAGACATTTGTGCGTGGGTTATAATTGGTTCCAGTTTTACATAGGGGTATATTCAGAATGACACTGTTCCAGAATAGTCTTTCTTTCTTCTTCTTCTTCTTCTTTTTTGGCGCTGTAACCGCCTAAGCGATTTTGGCCGAGTTCAGCAAAGCACGCCAGTCGTTTCTCCTCTGTGCCAACTGACGCCAATTGGAAACGCCAAGTGAAGCCAAGTCCTTCTCCACCTGATCTTTCCATCGCAGTGGGGGTCTCCCTCTTCCTCTGCTACCACCAGCGGGTTCCGAGTTGAATACTTTCAGAGCTGGAGCGTCGGTGTCCATTCGAACGACATGACCAAGCCAGCGGAGCCGCTGTATTTTAATTCGCTGCACTATGTCCATATCGTTGTAAAGCTCATACAGCTCATCGTTCCATCGTCTGCGGTACTCGCCGTCGCCAACGCGTAAAGGACCGTAAATCTTCCGCAAAATCTTTCTCTCAAACACCCCAAGAGCCGCCTCATCGGATGTTGTCATTGTCCATGCTTCTGCGCCATATACCAGCACGGGCATGATGAGTGAGTCTTTCTTTCTAGTATCCTAAAGATCGCTATCTGACTCTGTTGGTTGCCCTGAATTTTCGATAAAAGGAGTACAGGTTAATATATATCGGAACTTTTACAGCCTCCGCTGGTCCGAATATCACTCCACCCTTAGCGCCAGTAGTAGCTTAACTCTGGCTTCACCTATGTTGTTTAGTCTGGTAGGCTCTAGCTTACCCGATTGTTGATCATTCAAAAAGATTCTCGCATCTTTATCACAGCTCTTTATATAAACAACCGTGGGCATCCCAAGCAAAGAGCAATTGAATATCTTTCGCGTCCTCCATCTATGAACTATCTTTGTCGACTAATCAATTATGGGTTCAAGTAACGGAACCCAAAGCTGACATAACTTTCAACGGCAATAACGTAACTCGCCGGTATATATGCCGGTATATATGTAGATGTCCCAAAATTTCCAACACCCAACCCGAAAGTATCTTCAAAAATTTTGCGTATAGTTATCTTCTAAAAATTAATCCACATGGTGTTAGTTACATTTTTTACTTCGTAATATCTCAAATAACATACGAACGGGTCCACGCTTCTCCTATGAGTATGAGCGTTTCTTTTGTCTTAATAATTATGCCCTGAAATAAAACTACAACCCATTAGTTTCCAGTTCCATATTTTTATAATTTTTAATCTTTGTTTGTTTCCTTAAAAACCCCAACCAGGAGGACACCAAAATGCAAGAAGAAATCGAAACGGTCGATGTTGAAAGTTGCAATGACGATGTGCCCGACTCTGGCTCCGAGCTGACGTCACACTCCCAACTCGGTGTGAATAGCTTGAGTCACGCGCACCATCAGCACCAGAACAGCATTGGCAATCAGACTCTGGGCAGCAATATGCACAGCAGCAATAGTCAACCGGGAAAATTAGATGGCATCTTATATCGAACGGCTTGTGTTATGAATAAAGATGCTGGGAATAGTGAAGATGATTTGAATGCAACCAGTACTAGCGGCGGGGGTGGTGGCGCTGGCGGCATGACACAAAATTGGAATCACGCGCAACACAACACAGCTGCCACGATAACAGCGCAACAACAAGGACATATCAGTGGTGAGTGTGATGACTGGTTTTAATGATTTGTTTAAATGTTTTTATAAAATCTTAAATGAATATACACACTTAAGTAGTATGTGCTTAATTGGCTAATTATATGTATACATACATCTGTAAGAGTGTGTTTTTGTGTGGAATTGAAATATTTTGTGTGTAAATTTATTTTCAAAACTCAGCTCCTGCTTTACTAATTTTTACTTCTTCCCCCTGTATTCCTCCAATTACAGTGAAAAATGTCAGCGAACTGTCATCGACAACCCATCACTTCTACAACGCGGACTCGTGTGGCGCTGTTGACGAGCGCTCCACTGGCGGTGGTGGCGGCAGCGGCAATTGTAACGGCAAGGATGTTTCAATGGAAACATGCAATGCCAACGACAGCGACGAGGATGTCATTGTGGACGACGATGATTCTATTAAAATGACGAATCTGTGCAGCAATAAAAAACGAAAGCATGACGAGACGGTGGTTAGTAGCAGGTAAGCAAAGGCCAAAGGAGGAGGCGAAACAATTCGGCACAATTGGGATCACACTTTAAAGTAAAAATTGCACAAATATTTTTGCTACAGTTTTGCTACACAAAATATTAGAGTCATTTAAAATAAATACTTTTTTCAAAACATTTTTTTCCTCCTTTCAAAGGTTAAAGACACTTGCCAAAATTCATTTTATATGACCAGTTATCCAATGATCAAAAATCTATGTTCATTTTTTATTTAGTTTTTAAATGAAAAATAAATTATTTTAAATTTTTATTGGCAACAATTTAGGTTTTAATTTTGTATCGCCCCAAAAAAAATTGTCTGAATTTTAAAATAGCAAAAATTTACGCCCACCTTTTATTTACCATCCTTTTATGCCCAATTTTTAAATGACAAACAATCTATGTTCGTTTGTTATCGGCCCAAAATGTGTTTAAAAGTTTTTTAACTGTCGAAAATGGTGTGTGTTTTATTGAATGCCAAAAATGTGGGCAACAATTCCTGTCCAGTTTTAAATGACAAAACATACATATCTATATGTCCAGTTTTTTATTTAACCAATAATTAATGTTCATTTTTTAATTAACAAAAAATTGTTTACATTTTCTCAGTTACCAAAAATGTATGTCCTGTTTTGCTTTTAATTTGATCAGTTCAAATTCTAATTTTGAAATTAGTAGAAAATTTATGACCAGTTTTTTAATTGCCAAAAAGTTATGGCCAAGTTTTTAATTATCAAAAAATTATGTCCAGATTTTAAGTGACCGAAAATTCATGTCCAACTTTGAATTACAAGAAAAAATTCTAGCAATTTATATCCCGTTTCTAAAGTACACGAACTGATGTTCAATATTTACTTGAAAGAGACATGGCTGTACATTAGGGCGGTCCAAAATAAGTAAAGTAGGAGTTTTTATGCTCTCACCCCCTAGGATTGTTCTCTATCGAAAAGATATACCCCTATTTTTTTATTTTGAAATCAAAGATATTTAGAGAGAAAAAAACAACGGCGGTCCTATAAAATATAGTTACTAAGAAAATATTGTTAAAAAAATAATTGGGTGTTATTATTGGGAATCCGATCGAAAAATATTGATTTTCAAGAATTCCATACCATTTCCACGAAAAATTCTTTTTTCCCCATACAAAATACATGGAAAACTTTGAGCGCTTTGAGCGACCTCTAAATATTTTGTTTCAAAATAAAAAAATAGGGGTATACTTTTTTTCGATATTGAACAGTCCTAAGGTGGTAGAGCATAAAAATGTCGACTTTACTATTTTACATGAATTCTTGGACCACCCTACTGTACATAGTATGTATACATGTTTTCTTTGTGTCTTTTAGAACATCAGATGACCACACGCCAATGCTGGAGCAGGAGAGACCACGCTCCGAACCACAAGTGACAAGTACCGAGCCAAATATGGAAATGGCGAACAATAATAATAATAACAACAATTCCAAATACAGCACCTTTGAGGAGATGCGCTCAAAGCAACACCAACAACAACAACAACAGACGGAACTGGATAATGGCCACAGCAATGTGAGCGGCATAGGTGCTGGAGGTGGTGGTGGTAATGCAAACATAATGGGGCCTGGACTTACGCAATTGGACACAAAGGTGGGATTTAGTTCGGATAATAAACCGGACGATGAAAACAAATGTTTCATTTGTAAGGTACGAGTAATTTGAGTTTCTGTTTTCCGTCTTGAAACATAAAACAAACAAGAAATACAAACAAAAAATTAAAAAAAAAACTGCACTAACCTCTTACAAGCTCGCTATCCTTCTAAGTCCAACACTCTAAATTCTAATTGCACTCAATTTTCTTACAAAATTTCTTGCCTTTAAATGTTTTTTACTATATTATCTCCCTCGATTTGTATTTATGTACATACCTACAAATATACATATGAAAATATTTCAATCGCCTTCCATTTTTGCTCTTCTCTTTAAGACAGGTATAAAGGATTTTGCCACGGAATCTTTCTTTCGCGGACGCAACTTGTATTTCCATCAGAGTTGTGCGAATGTGATGAGCAGCTATCGGCTAAGTAAAGACTTGCAACAGCAGCAACAAAACCTGATACAACAGCAGCAGCAGCACCAACAGCAACAGGACGCTCAAAAATCACCATCTCCACAACAATTGGTGAATCTTTAAGAATTTATTAAACACTCACATCATAAACACATTCAAACGAACACACATAGAAACATACATAGAAAGCGCTACACAAATAAATTTATCGTAAGCCGTTTAAGAATTTAACATGTTATCTGACTTAGCAAAAATATGCTTATGTGTACCATATAGTATTTTAAATAAAAATAAAATGTAGACTTAGTGCTAATTGTGTGAACCGAAGTATCTACAAAGCTAAGCATTAGGGAGGTTCTTATGTGCGTGAATTTTTGCAATGCTATTTATTACTTGTGTATTTTCCTTAAAAGTCTGTTAACTACTTTGTACATTATGTTATCTTTTTGATGTATGAAATTTTCTAAAGAAATGTACTTTCGATAACAGACAGCCAGAAATGTTTTAAAAAGACTAGAAATAGCCTCTTTGCCATTCGAGCACGGCATTTCATTATAAAGACCCTTTTCCCCACTTACAGCTGGTATGAATTTTTATAGCTGGCGCAGTCACAGAAGCGGCCTAAAATTCGATAAGCAAACCACTCCGGCGTGCAGTGATGTGTGGCCGTTCTGAAACTTCCATTTCTGGATTCTTATCTCGTTTCTAACAAGGAAATGTTGTTGCTTGCCAATCGACTGAAAAGAGGATTTGACCGACGGCTCGAAAATGGAAGAATTAAACGCAATGGTATTTATTCGAGGAGCCTGCAGATCAGGCGCTTTAATCGATTGCCTGTCAGCTTCTGATTCTATAATACAGAAATCTTTTCCGTAGGGTGTTCCGTTGGGTTTTTCGAGCATGTTAACATTGAGGGGAACGAACCAGCTGATGAAATGGCTAAAGAGGGTCTGAAAATCCAAATAAGCTTCGCACGGCTGGAAAAAAACGACCTACGAACCAAACGGTATGACGTCGAAATAAGTACCGGGGTAGCGGTTGATAAGCCTCAAGCCTCCAAACTTAACCAAGCCTCGCAGGATAGTCCTTTCAACCTTTGTAAACGGATCTGCCCGAAACCCGCAATTCTGTCGGAGGTAACTGTGGTCGAAACAACTATTTTATCAAATCGGGCAATAAATATTTCGAGCGCCAGCCGCTAAAAAAAAACGCAAGTGACTTTTTTTTCAAAATTTTCTCTTCTGCATTATAAAGAAAATTTTAAAAAAGATGCAGCTTACGTTTTTTGGTGGTTAGCATTCGATATGTCGATCCCATGAGTGAGCTATCCAAAGTTTTATTTTTACCGTAGTTTTGAGTCAGGTATGTTCAATGTTCAAGGCACGTCGACCTCAACTCTCATGGATGCGTTATCCAATGCGCTGAACTCTAGTTCCATCTGTATAAAAGTTGCTGGCAATAGGCAAGTGTATAGTGAGGGATGCTGCACCAGTCCCATAATGTTTACATTATAACTTTGTAATTCTAATCGAAAACGATTGATTATGGTATACCCAGAGGAACTCTGGATTTCTGAAGGGTCTGAGTCTCCCTCAACGCACCATGCTATGGCGTAAATCAAAGAGAAAGGTCTACCAAACATGTGTTTATATAGGGTGATCCAATAAGAACGCAGATGTTCGCAGTAGGGCTATTGTGTCATGCGCTGTGCGGCAAGTGCCATCGTTTTGTTGAAACCATATAGGTGACACAAAGTATTTTATCATATCATAATAACGAGCGTTCACCGTAACAGCGTTACTGGCATCATTTTCGTAGAAGTACGGTTCGATGATTCTCTCAGTCCAAAAACCACAACAAATAGTGTCTTGTTGTGGGTAAATAGTTTTTTTTTTTTGCAGTGGATGCAGTTTTTCTCCGTTTTGGGTTCTCTTTAGATCGGCTGCATCCTTTTAATCACTTTACGCTATGTTCAACTGAGTATCGCTCCATGACTAATCTTGCCAAAGCCTGTAGCACCAATTGCCTGATAAAATATATTTAAAATAAACAAAGAATTGTTGTCAAAGATCTGCATTAACCTTGTATAACCCTATATAACAGAGGGACTCTGGGTTTTTTATCTAAGAAATTGTGAATTTTAGGTATGTACTTACATAACTTTTCCCTACTTTAAATGCCTGTTTCTTCCAGTAAGTCTTTCAGGAGCACTTTTTTCAACTAGTATATTTCTAAAAAACCAATTTACGAGTACTTGTATAAAAATTCTGGAATTATTCTACACAATATATTTCGTTAAATTTCAAAAAAGAAGGTCATCCCTAACTTGCATATATGTACACAAACTTAAACGTACATAAACAGAAATACACAACGGATCAAATAAATACATATGTATATGTATAAGCAGCTGAATTTTAGTGAAAATGTGTGAAATCTGCCTGTATGCCGAATAAGTTTAAAATAAAAAAATATATGATTTACATGTTTATTTTTTCGAAATAAATTCCTTGCATTGCATTTAAATTAATTTTATATTTAATAAGTACAATCTGATGCAATATGTTGACATGTAAAAATTAGCCGTATTTTTATTAAAATCTTTACAACAGTAAAGGTTTAGTTTTCACATCACGATGTATTGTTTGTTTAGTAAATATGTATTAATTTAATGTTTATAACTAATTCTATTTAAAAAATAATGTGTGCTATAGTTGTTAATTATCTGTGTATAACAGATTAATACGAAAAGATGTATTTAGTTTTAAGCAATAAATGTATCTAATGAGAATATGTAATTACCTAAACAATACTGTCGAGAAAAAATAGCGCTAAATAAATTAATAAAGAAAACTAACTTAATAAAAATAAATAATAAATCCCAAAATAGTATCTGTTATTTATTCCATGTAATGAATGCTGGTTTGTATAATTTACACGCCTACAAAATTCAATTGACACAGGAACTGAAGCGAAGGGTCTATTTGCGGCGCTGTATATTTTCACTTAAACGTTAAAAAGCAAAACTGTCGCGTTTGGAAGTCTGTGAATCCATATGTCTTTCGAGGAAAAACCCCCAAAACCGAGTCTCTGTTTGGTGTGGTTCATGGACTAGCGGAGTCATGGGACCGTGTTTCATAGAAATTGATGTCGGAGGCGCTTTTAATGTGAACCATCAACAACATGATAACAAACTATTTATATGGATAATATGTGGTTGCCCTTTCCACACCGCACATGAAACAATGGGCCCATTGCGAACGAAGTTCCCAGAACACATTATTACACAAATTAACAACTTCAAATTGCCGCTGAGATCTTTCAATTTGGCACCTCTATCTGTGGCTACGTGAAAGAAGGGTCTATGCTAATAAGACCCAGACGATTCCAGAGCTGAAGAGCAAAATCGCACGCGTTATCACAGCGCACGGCAGTGCGCGCGAGTGACGAAAGCAGCCCCAGTAAATGATATACAGCCGGAACTAAGGCAAAAAGTCATGGAAAATCATGATATGCGCATTCTGTAGGTATAGGCAGAGGAGTAGTGGTGGGCATTTAACGGATATTTTGTTTCATACATAAATGTCATAGCCTAGAAAATATTATGAAAAATTTTTTTTTTAATTTGTTGTGTTATTATTGAATCACCCTATCTATACCATGTCATTCTTCGTAAGAGCATTCGAATTTAATTCATTTTTTTTATTTTTGGTTGACGAGTAATAAGATATGCCCATATAATTGGAAGACCATTTCTCAAAGCGATGACTTACTATTATTTTGAAAGGGTATTCAAAGCTCATTGCCTCAATTCCTTCAACAAAAAAAAAATAATTAAATTGTGTTATTTCGATGTTAGAAAACTATTGTCTGAAATCTACATATCAAAAAACAGAATTAACTCAATTTTTGAGTTCCTTAGATCGTCAAAGAAATAACTCCATATATCTTCAAGGAAACTGTTAATCGATTTTTGTTTCAAGCCTTTGAAATTAGCAACGGAACACAATGTTTTTTCATTATGATATCGAGAACCCTTTCGTACATACAGTCAGCGTCAAAAATATGAATACCCTGACGTTTGTTTATTTATATTTTGCATACCAAATTTTCCCTATTTTTTATAAAAATTTAGTTCAAACACAACAAACACAAAAACACAGGAAGAATAAATTTTTTGAATTTCATATAGAACTCCGGAAAATTCAAGAAATAACAAAAAAAAATCTTCAAAATTTGCAACATTTCAATTCCATTTCTTTTAAATTTTAGTATAACAAGGTGCAAGTGTTTTTTGTCGAGGGTATTGCGCATTTTCTTCCATGTAAAAATAGATTTTGTTCTTTCGTTTTATGGAAGAAAATGCGAAACACCCTTGAAAAAAAATTCTCAAAAATCAACCGTAATTTTTACAGAGTTTAAACTTGCACCTTATTATACTAAAACTTAATGGACTACAAAATTGCATACTCAATTGAGTGTTCCCGAGTTCTATATGAAAATGAAAAAACTGATTCTGCTGGTCTTTTCTGTTGAATGAACTATATATATATATATGGGAAATAATAATAAAGAAAATCGTCAAAACGTCAGGGTATTCATAGTTTTGATGCTTACTATATATAATTAACTACTTCATTAAGATTTTATCTTTAAAAAAGAAATATGAATGTTCTGTTAGAATGGCAAAATGATATTTTGTAACGACTCGCCTATGAATGTTGTAGTAGAGTCGCTGAAGATGTTTCGTAATGAGTTATCCATGACTTTTCCAGAAAGGTCTCGAAGATTTATTTCTATGAATCGCCTGAAACAGACCGAGAGTGCTTACAAACAGTTATTCCACGATCAGATAAAATACTACCTTCTGATCGGAATTATTGGAATAAATGCCAACGAAGGAAACTTCCACGATCGAAACTGTTTACTGGGTACATAAGTATTATCTATATAATCCTGTATGTTGGTGTATGCATGCTGAACACTTCAGTTCGCTCAATGGAAAGTTTTGTCTTCAAATTGATTACAAATCAACAAGTTCAATTGATAACGATATTTACAGCAGCAAACACCACCAGCGACTCACAATTTAGATCCGCGGCGAACTAGACTTTAGAAATCTATATTTAGTAGGAATATTCAAAATAAGTTTCTCTCTTCTCATCAGAGATAAGAAAGCTTATTCTAAACCAGAAGCGAAAAAATTAAATAAATGTAAGAGTGGGCCGTAGGGGGGAATGAAAAAGAGGCTTGGCAGTGTGATCACAAAATGAAAACTGGGAAGAAATTCTCTATGAGTTATCAGTGCCCCTAAGAATTATCGAAAAACGTGAATAAGTATCTATATAAATGTCAGAGGCAGTCGTAAAACTTCGAGCGATAGCAAAAGACTAGCGCAGCTAAACAATTGCTTCGAGCGTTCATCGCGGGCGTGAGCACCGATCAATTTCAGTTATATGGGAGAAGTGTTTGCGTTAAGTGCTAGT